TCATGTGCAGCCGTCAGGATTTTGTCGTCCAGTTCAGTACTTCTTCGGTGCAAGCAGCTTATGATTCTGTGAAAAATAATATTTCTGAATATGTACAAGCTCATTGCTCCGGTCCCTTTCCCCTTGCAGCGATTATATGCAGAAATCGTCCCCAAACTGCCCCCAAAACAGAAAGATCTGAGCTCAGCTCCCAAGGCTCTTGCACTAAATCCACCCTGCGAGACGATACACAAAGAAAGAGATGATGTCTCTGGTATTTAAAGGCCAGTCGTGCCGGTACTGGGTTGGGAAGGATAAATTAAGGACAGAAATTCTGTGGCAGCTAAAGGAACCAAGAAGTTCCAGCAGATGGCAGAAAAAAACTCAAAAGAGAGAAATGTTCTGCTGAGCAGTTGAAATGCTCGGCTGAATCGTTCTCAACCAAGCTGTCCGTGTGTGTCGTGTTAGACTCTCTTGGTTTTGGATTTTTCCCCCCAAACCCACATGCCTAGCCCAGACGTGCTGGGCTAACTCCTTCTGGATGCATCCCCCCGTGTGGTGCTCGTGCAAAGGCGTTTCAGGGGAGCCGGAGCCATGAATAACGACAGGAGCTGGAGGGGAGCGTGTGGGCGCTGGGGGCCTGAGGGGGCTCCTCCGTGTTGCTGCTCATCCACGATGGAAGCGAGGAAACATCTTGTGCCCCACCTTGGCATAGGTGTGAACCCATGGGCAGGCATCAGGACGCTGTGTTTTTTATATTTCCCTCCCTCTGGCTTCTAATTGCCAGTGTGACCCAGGCTAATCACAGAGCATCACCAAGTCTCCCTACTCTCCATCTAACCGGAGTAATGATGGCCTGTGCGCTCCTGCGACTTGAAGTTTGCAAATCCAGAGGTACCTTCCTGCTAACAAATCTCAAGCTCACCCCCCAGGACTGTTCTGGCCCCTTCCCAGTCTGGATTTTAAATGTGAAGTGGAATGAAACGCTTTGGCTCCTGTTCCACATGGAGTCATGGTACTGATTGTGGGACATGCTGCTGCACCAGGAATGTCCATTGTTAAAAACAGGGATACGCGGACAAGTAGTATTTCATGCACATGTAGCATCGAGTCACTTCAAAACACAAATATATTTTATCTTTTCTTTCATTTAAGCGAAAACAAAGGGGATGTACTCTTAAAGATGCTCATGAGCATCTGCTGGCTGTGGCCACCTGTCACGATAGCTCGTCTGTCCTCTGGACTGCAGTTAATGATGACAACAGACAAATAATCCTCCCTGTTGTATGAACAGGTTTCAGTGCATTGTGGTTTTATTCTTTGCAGTTCCTTGTCCCTCCTGATTTGCACTATTAGACCTAGTATCTTATCTTTCTGTGAAGACCTACTTCAGCTAATGCCTGTGTCTTCCTGTTGGTATTCCTGTGCTAAGTTCCCTTCTCGTTCTGATGCCTCTTAAAATGATTAATTTTGACTTGACGGATGCATAAGTAATTCCTCCTTTGGCCTTTCACATTGATTTTCTGTGTTTTCGTTAAGGTTAATGCTCCTCAGATGAAATCAGTTCTATTATCATTCTATTAGCTTGATTTTGGCCTAGTAGCATTTCCATCAGATTTCGATCATTGCAGAATCCGTAACTATCACAAAGCTCCCATAATAAAATGGGATTCAGGGAAAAAAGCCCATAAATCCTACTATCTCAAGAAACCAATTAAAAGCCAATAAGAGACTGCATCTGTTGGGAGTACTTGTAATTGAAGCAGAAGGTTGCAGCCAAGCTGATGAATACCTCTTCACAACAGATTTCAGTCAGTTCTTGCGTTACCTGAAATTGTGGATGAAGCTATGTGAGACCATGAGCTATAGCTAACAGAAAACAAGAATCCAGAGTCTACAAGAGATAATTAGAACAACAGTGAAACCCAGCAAACCAAAAGCAACTCCTCACTTTAATTGCAAGGGCAAAAAAGGGATTGTTTATCCTGGTATCGGTAGCTGAGCATTCACGGACGGCGTGACATGAAAAATACACTGAAGGAATATTTTCTTTGGCCCAAGAAACATCTGCAGGTATTTTTCTTGTGTATATTTTAAGAATATTCATCTGCTGAGAGTGAAATGTAAATCTTAGCTATTCAGGTCTTTGTTTTGAATTAATCAGCTCTAGACTAGTTTCAGGTTGGAAGCAAAATATTGAGTAAAATATTGAGTCACCAAACTTTTTATTTCTGATTCCACTATTGACCTGTTCAGTGTGTTTTCTCCTCCGTGATTTGGATCTTCATCCATGGGACAATTTGGAGAAGCGCTTATTAATGGAAGTGGGTTGACAGGAGCATTTGTCACGTACAAGCACAAAGTATCAGCTATAACTGCCCATTCAGTTGTGGCATACCTAAGGCTTTGTTCCATTCTCCTTAATAAAATGTCACAAGCTATCTATACTAATTTTACTGCACAGGCATCTCTCTCTCACAGGTTGTACCATCCTTTGAGTGTTCAGCACTTCAGGGTACGGAAGCACATTGATCAGCCATACGGGATCTTTACCTTCACGTGGAAGAAAAGTGTTCCTGAAAAGCTGTGCTGCTCTCCGTTAGCCATCACCGATAGACAGCCGTAACGCTTGGGCTTTGTACCACAGCTTGTCCTTGAGAATGGTCTGCGTGACCTTGTCTGAAGCTGGGGGCTCAGTGGAGTTTTCCACGTACTCCTCTTATGCTAGAACAGCCATCCCCAAACCGCAGCCCCTCTTCCAGGTGCACGAATATGCCCTTTCTCCTCACCAGTCAAAGGGCTGAGCTGGGATCTTCCATAGACCCCGTGAGCACAGTGGAGAGAGGACAAGCAATGACAAAAATGGATGCTTCTTTTGGCTAATCTCTCTTAAAATTGGAACCCAGTGTTTCTGGGAGTGAAACCCCTCCAGGAAATAAGTCAGCAGCAAAGGTGGCGGACCAGTTGCTGTCGGTCGTAGCACATAGTCTCGTATATCTTACAGATGACACAGCTCGTAAGCCACGTAACGGAGGGTGAGCACATGACTCCTTTGCATGTGACATGCCAGCGAGGGTGTCAGATGCATGAGGAAACGTGTTTGAACACTGGGTCTTACCTCCCTCTAAGTGTAGTGCTTGTGGGGAAGGGACTGTCCTTTTGTAGCTCAACAGTGACAATTGCTTTCTCCATTTCTGGTGTACGTGGAAACTGAGAAATTCCCGATTTTAGGACCAAAACCATTGCTAATTGTAGTCATATCATAACATGTCCTGACATTCAAGACATATTCTAACTGAATGGAATCATCTGCATAACAGGTATGGAAGTAGCTGTTCTTTTCAAACAACAAAAAAAAAAGACTGTGTTGATGGAGATCTGTTAAGTCCTGAACTCATCTTTCTCTGTCCCATCTCCTTTGTCCCTCCCTGATGTACTAAATCTAAAGCTATTCCCCGTAACTCCTGCGGTGGCACACAGTCAATACTGTCATCATAGCTGTCAGTTCTCCATTCACAAATTCCCACTTTGGACTGCTCGAAGCCTGCCTGGTGAGTAATTAATGCTACAATGGTCTTTTACCCAGGTTTGCTGTGTTCTGAGTAGAATTCATGTAATTTCAATAAATAAACTTTTTTACCATTTTATTAGATTCATGCTGAAAAGCTAGCATTTTCATCAGACTGCATAATAGCAGCAGTTTATGACGACTGTGGCGCTATCCTAACAAAGCTGGATGCATGAAGGAAGTCAATCACTTTCACTCAGCTAGCTCTGTGGGAAGCTTACGATTAGTCTTTCAGGGGGATTTTTGGTGACCCTCTCCACATTGCCCTCACCTTTTCCCTTCTGCTCATTTCTTTCTGCATTAGGAAAATGCAATTGCCTAAAATCCAGAGACACAAATTCCTGCTTGCTTGCTTTTAATTCTGAACAACTTTTTAACTGATGAGTCCCTTGGATAAGCACACCCCATGGTTAGAGTAAGGGTTTGGGACCAGGGCACCATTTTTTGTTAAAATGATGACCAGTGTACAAACAAAAACTAATTACAATTGCAATTTTGTTACAGTTTTGCCCTTTACATAAACCTACTGCAGCGTAGGTGTGTTATTTATAAATGCAGTTTCTCCTGCATTTTATCTTCCAGAGGTCCAAGTATTTCTACAGATCACACTGCCTATATATGGAGGATTCAGGCTTCCTAAATCTGGCAACCCAACGCCTCTGAGAGCAGTGCACTGTAATGTCAAATCAGGAAACGTTCAGCCTTATTGTAATGTGAACTCTGAAGTGGAAGGGCGAGCCAAGAAGTAACAAAGTGGTACAAAAAACTTAAATGTTGAGCTTTCATATTCAGGTTGTGCGATCATCCACCCTGCCCCTTCTGAACACCCAGCTCACAATTCTGGCAATCGGACTGAAGAGGACTTGGGCACAAACAGACCTTGCTGGTGCCCCTCAGTGAGCCTAACAGACCTACCACAGAAAAAGATGGCACAGATTTAACTACTGGGTTGTAGTGAGTCCTGGCATATTTGCTTCCAGAAATTCAGTTTTGAACAGTGGAGGAAAAAAAAAAAATTAAAATCTTTCCCT